TGGCGCAGGGCTTTGGGGTGCTGAGGGGTCTGGAGCAGGGCTTTGGGGTGCTGGGGGGGCATGGAGCAGGGCTTTGGGGTGCTGAGGGGTCTGGAGCGGGGCTTTAGGGTGCTGGGGAGTCTGGAGCAGGGCTTTGGGGTGCTGAGGGGTCTGGAGCGGGGCTTTAGGGTGCTGGGGAGTCTGGAGCAGGGCTTTGGGGTGCTGAGGGGTCTGGAGCGGGGCTTTAGGGTGCTGGGGAGTCTGGAGCAGGGCTTTGGGGTGCTGAGGGGTCTGGAGCGGGGCTTTGGGGTGCTGGGGGGGCATGGAGCAGGGCTTTGGGGTGCTGAGGGGTCTGGAGCGGGGCTTTGGGGTGCTGGGGGGTCTGAAACAGGGTTTTGGGGTGCTGCGGGGGCCTGCCAGGCCAGTGGAGGCTGGAGCCACGCTGCAGGCCTGGCAGCACGCATGCAGGACGTGCTGTTTTCTCCGTCTCGTCAGCACGGGGGATGCACGGGTTGGGTTTATTGCCTGGTGTTCTGCAGCTCCCACACGATAACGTCGTCTCCTTGGCCCGCTGCAGTGCCTAAACCCAGACCCCGTATCTCTCCTCTCTTTCCCCCCAGCCTAGTGCCTCTCACCAGGGGCAAGGGCAAGCTGAAGGCTCCTTCCACCAGGGATACAAACACCAGCGCCCAAACCTCACTTCTCCAATAACTGGAAATCTCCTCCTTCTTTCGAGTCTCCGCGCTTCCCTCGCTCCTCTCACACAAAGGCCGGGTTGCAGCAGCCTTCGTCCTCCCTTCGCTGTCAGCTGCTCCGTAAGCCATTTCCCAGCGAGTTTGCTTCTTGCCTTCACTGCACGCTCAGATGCGTGCTTACGCAACCGCAACCAGCTCATTTTATCACTGAGAGACATCAGACTCCATTTCTGTAAAAAAATCTTTTATTTAGTTATTGTTCCCTTCCAGAATATGCACCCCAGATACGTATTAGAAGAGGCGGGGGGGGAAGAAGAGGGAAAGGAGCTAGAAGGCAGGCCTTTTTTGTCATTGGAGATCTTGGGAAGACGTCGTCAACTCGGTCTTTTCATCTGTTACTGACTGCACGCCAGTAGAAACTAGAGAGCAGAAAATCTTTGTTGATTCGGTTCTTTTCAGGAGCTGGGCTTCTGCGTGTGAAAAGCCATCGTGCCATAAAAGCATAAAGGCGGGGTAGCTCTCGTGGGTAGCGCTGCATCAGTTTTTTGGTGAAAAGGAACGTACTATTCCTCACAAGTGCCGTTTTAAAACTGCACATCAGCAAAACTCGTGGGTTTTACTTAAACGTACCTAAAACTTTCCTCAAGTTTCCTTCACTAGACCTTGGTTAAGTTCCAATATTAGGTTTACTAGTCTTCAAAAAGAGCAGTCAAATCATAAAGCTTTTTTTCCCAAAAAGGAGCTTATTCTAATAGATACTTTCTCAGAGAAAAGAAAGGCAAGGCATCAAAACTAAGAATTAAAGTATAAAAGAACAAACCTACAGGAGTACTAGGAATACAAACAGGTTGTTTCAACCCATCTTTCTTGAAGGACATACTTTAAAAACCACAGGCCTGGGGCTGGCCTTCCTAGGTAGGAGCGTCCTGTCCTCACTGCCCTCGGGGAGCCCACCACGCTGGGAGGCAGTCCGCGTCTCTGGAATGACTGTCGAAGGCTAAAGAGGGACCTCTGGTGTAATTAGTCCAGTCGGAAAAAAAAACAACCCACCAAAATCCACCACTCTATTTGCTGCCTTTAAACTTGCTGCGGTCACCAGCCTGTCTGCAGGAACTGCAGCTCCGCAGAGGGAAAGGAGGCGAGACCACCAGATCCGCTGGTGCCCACTGCTGACCTGCAACAAACGCACCACTTGGTACGGCCGCCTTTTATCATCCTGATACACATTTTAGCCATTAATTTTGCTTCAGATTTTTAATAAAATTCCTCTTGGTCTCCCAGGGCTTTAAAGACACAAACCAAGCACTTTTGGTATTTAGTTTACATCGTAAGTGCTGTGGAGTTTTTTGATTTAGGTTGATTTGGGGGAGGAAAGTGGGCCGAGCGGCCCACTGGTCCTTGTACAGTTGTACTGTATTGCTGCGTATGACTGGTAGGGTTGAAAGACACAGTATCACTGTCACAGTTACAGCAGGAAGAGAAGGCACAGCCAGAATGCAAGAAAGTGAAGGAAAAACCCAAGTCACTTGGATAAAAAGTTTAAATGTTCAGCTTCCAAGCCTCCTGACATCATCATGTAGATTCTAAACCCCAAAGGGTTAATGATCTATTTGATTCAGCCCCTGACTTGCTTTAAGGAGCTTATTCAACAGTTTCTCAAGCTCTCCTGGCCGGCTTCTGTACCGAGCATCCGGCATTTCTTTTTTCCTCTATTTCAGAGGCAACCCAGCATGGAAAGCCCAGTCCCGTTACTGTCTGTTCAGAACCTGGGGAGGGTGCCAAGCCCCCTGCGCACGGGGAGGAGTGGTCCTTCCACGAGGAAAGCTTCAGCAGAAGTCCTTTATGCACAAGTTAAAGCCAAAAAGGGATGGGCCCCAGAGGAACAGTACAAAGCTCTACTGGAAACAAGAGGGGACACAGCAAGGTTGATTTACAGCATTTATATCCCTCTGAACAGAACCCAGCCCCTGCACACGTCTCGTCAGCAAGCTCAGTTGTCCACCTCTTCCTCATCATTTTGCTCTTCTTCCTCCATCCTTTCGTCATCGTCATCATTCTCTTCCTCTCGGCTCTTATCTTGCTCCTCTGAGTCTGCCTTCTTGTCTTTATCTTTCCTTGCTTCTTTCTTTCCTTTCTGTTCACGCCTGTAAACTAAAAAAGAAAAAGAGAGAACACTGAAAAATTGCAAGCCGGCGTTTCCACGCCATGAACAGTACGGTAGCTGAAGTCCAAGGTCCGCTTGCTCTCCAGGCTTGCAAGGGGAGCAGTGAACTCGGAGCAGCAACTTGCCCTATTATTTGAGCTGTGCTGACCAGCTCCAGAGGAAATCGGGTTAAGTTTCAGCAGAAAAATGCTGAAAAGGACGCAGGAGTTCACATTTACAGGCAGCACTTAAGACTTTCCTTAGATAAACACAATAGGGGAGTGATAGCAAATGAGACGTTCTCAGTCCTCGTCAGTTGTGAAACAATGTTATCCCGGTCCTGTTAAGGCGCACATTATTTATTCCCCAGGCAAACTGCAGTGTAGGATGCTGGGCAAAGAGAAGAGAAACAAGACAGGCAAGTAAGTGTTGCTCGTCCAGTGTTTGAGGGAAGCAGGACTTGGTGCTGCTTAGACTCCCTCGACGTGAACCGAGGACGATACCTTCCAGTGATTCTTTCAAAGGGGCTACAAATCGCTGAAACTCCATTTCCTCCATGGCAGAGAGAACATCGCCAGCATTCAGCGTTTTCCTCTTCCCCTTCATGGCGAAGTTATTTGCACTAGTCAAAAACAAGAAGGAAAATAGAGTTAATCGGCACTGTCATCCATTTAGTCTTGTTTATTACAGTCACAAGCACCTTCAAAAGAAAAAAAGCCATCTCCTTAACTTTCAGGGTTTTTTTTTTAATCACTCACTAATAGTAGTTTAAGGTACCTTCTTGTTTACTTTGGCTGTTTGTGCTTTCATCTAGTTGCATTGCCTTCCTACAACATTAGCCTTCTGCTTGCGTGGACCTTTTCTACAACCGGGTGGACGGAGGAAGTCCGAACGTTGGCTGTAAGGTGACAATTCCAGAAAGCCGTGCGAGTACTTGACGCCAGAGAAGTGACTGCCCGCACAGCATATTCTCAGCCACCCC